TTAACATGGCTATGTGAACATTTACATCAAATTGATCTTTTTTACATTTTTTAAAAAAATTTAAATAATGTATATTATGTCTTTAAATAATGGTTACATTTGTTGGTTTCTTCACTGATTCTGAAAACTATTCAATAGCTGGATCACATTCTAGCCTTCAGTGCCAGTACTTATAGATATCCTGTATTTAGCAGGCAGATGCTAACCTGCCATTCTAAAAATAAAAAGTTTCTTGACTGGCTTTGTACCTCAGTACCTTTCTAGTTACTTACATAATACAAGCATGTAACTAGCGAAGTCAGAGTAAAGTCAAAAGGCATATGGGGTTGTTTGCTAAAACTGAAGAGTGCAAAATCTGGTACAGCTCTGCACAGGAACTAGTTTTTTTTTTTGTCAAAGCTTAATTGAACAAGCTGAAGTTAGAAGCTGATTGGCTACCATGCACAGCTCCACCAGATTCTGAGTGTACCAGTTTTAGTAAATCCCCTATAGTCTGCATACTTGATTTCAAAGAACTGAAGCCTTTGGATCAACAATAAAGTCAGGCATATAGCATTTTTAAAAGAGTAGCATTTAGAAAAGGCAGCTTCTGCCTTTAAAAGAAACCCCAAAGGATTTTTATTGAAAATGCTGCCCCCTCTATCGCCTAATAGAGAATTCCTGAGTAACAAAAATGAGCTGCCAATTTTTTAAATTCTACAAAACTATGAAAGATAAGATTTTAACATATTCATAGACACTTAGAGTTTTAAATGGAAGGAAAAAATCACACATGCTCATCACTAATAAATGTCACCTCTTCCTGTACATAAAATGGGTAGGATTATTGATGAGTTTAATACTTAATACTCATTCTAGAGATGAAATGCATTCATACTGTACTCAGAGACTTTGTCAATCCTACAGTACAGTGCATGATATACGATCTTATGACAGAGAGAAATAGTGCCATTTGATAACTAGCCTTTCTTTGTCTGGCCAGCTTTCCATCTCACATTTCTATAGCGCTATGATGACTAATGGGGCTGATATATGCACGGAGAGGCGAGACGCACAACCAGGTAATGGGAAGGTGGGGATTGTTGAGATATGAATGGTAAATCCATTAATCTTTCGAAATCCAATTCAAGTAACTGAGGACAGAGTAAAAACAGAGGCAAAACAGCCGACACATCATTTGTTATAGGCTGGAGTGTGCAAGTCAACTGTTTAATTATCTCACCAAATTCCACACCCCATTCATCAAGATGCCAACAGCCTGTTACAGCAATTGCCACCCACATAAAGACTACATAGAGGTAAAACTCTAACTGGACAGAGATAAAATCTCTTCCTGGAAAAGTAAAGCACATTCTGTGCAAATGATAAAGATTATGGTCCCTAAGTCACCCAAATCACTAAGTGATCCTTTTCTATAAAATACACAGAAAAATGATGCCTGTGAATATACACAAACATTTGTAAGTAAACATATCAAAACAACAGTGTATTGCTATTACTGATTTAGTACATAGTCATCAATAATATAACAGTAAATGTGTTAACCTAAGAGTGCGATTATTATTATGCACCAAAGTGTTAAAGTGTGCGTATAGCCAAAAGTCTTTTTTGAAGACAGTAAGAAAGGGTTAAAACCCCTATCTGGTTGATTTTGCTGTCGGGATCCTGCTGGGAAGATTTCCCTTCACCTGCCAACAGAAAATTAAGGGAAATTTTCTCAAAGTAATGGGAGTTCCTATCTTAGATGTATCACTAGGGATGAGTTTAAAGTGGATGTCCAGGCTTTTCTTAACTAAGCCTAAACCTGCTCCCATCCACATTCTAACTACCCTGTGAAAGGAATATGTGCATGTTTACCTATTCTGAGCTCAGGTGCAGTCCTGTGATTATCTCCCAGCAGTGGCTTCATGGGAGAGTAGGGACGCCAATAATTGATGCCTCATATCGAGCCCATGGGTGACATCACCACAAAGGCAATTCAGCCGTTGTCAGTGACCGGACCAGAGTGGCCTCAAAATAGGTAAGTATACACATCTTCTTTTCAAAGGATAGTTAGAATAGGAGTTAGAATGGGGATGGGAGCAGGTTTAAGCATAGTTGGGAAAAGCCTGGACTTCCAGTTTAAGGTTGCGAGCCTGAGCAATTACCCATTTAGCAGAACTTGAATGTCACATATAATACCGGCAGTGCTATATTGCCTGACAGCTTCTCGCTGTCAATGGTTTTTAAGGACATCAGTCACCATCACCACCAAGTTCCTAACAAACAGTGACACCAGCCCTATTCATTTATATTCACTGGCCAAGTAAGCAAAGGTGCCTTCAGATCCGGTATGAATTTTAAGAGGGTCCCCATGCAAAAAAAAAAAAACACATGAATCCTCTCCCAAATTCCATAATTCCATACCAGACCCTTCCAGTCTGGTATGGATTCAAGGGAATCCCACACAAAAATCAAGAAAAAAGTGTGGGGCCCCCAAAAATTCATGCCAGATATTTATTTGAGCATTCAGCCTGGCTGGCCCCCCTCCTTCTGAACCATACTATGTCACATACCACCAACAAGCAGGAACACCCCCTTGGCCCCATATTGATGTAGACAAAAACTATTTGCCCACAGCCAAGGATTGGTGGTTGTGGAGTCTTCGGGAACAGTGCTTATTAAAATCTGTAAGCCCCTTTAACAATAAAGGGCCCCTAGATACCAACCTTCCCTATGTGAATGAGTAAGGGGTACTGGGATACCAGTGATGTCATTGTCCACATATGCTCAATGATGTCTCCTGGGAGTCCCCAACCCTTTATTTATAGCAGTGGTTATGTGCCAGAGCTGTCACATGCAGACAAACAGTCTTTGGGGTAAGATCATGTCAGCAGCCAGCGATTTGTTTTTTTTTTTGCTTTAAGAGGGGCATTGGGCATCAGGCATCATGATGATGTGGGTCTACATCCCTGGGCAATGTGATTGGTGATGGATGTACATCGTGGGATTTGTTTTGTAAATATTGATAGCATGAAGCCTCGTATGATTCAGGAAGGGTAAGAGCGCACACTGATTCCCCACCCTGCTTTCCTAACTAGCCAGGCTACATGGTGAATTAAAAGTCTAGCATGGATTTTTGTGGGACCCCACACCTTTTTCTTGATTTTTGCATGAGGGCCTCACCTAAATCTGAAGGGTCCAGTATGGAATTTTGGGGGATCCCATGCCAATTTTTTTTTTTTTGCGGAAGGACCCCCTTTAAATTCCTACTAGACCTAAAGTGCCTTGTATGAATCACAGAGGAACCTACACTTGAATGGAATGAATGGAATTCCTGGCCACTTTGTTTACAAACAGATTTAAATGTTGCTATAGTAGATTGTACACATCCCACATATATGCAGGGTAGGGTCAGGAGAACCCCTAGACATGAAATTTAGCATTTTTAAAAATTTCACTTTAAGCATTACTAAAATCACTGGTCTAAAATTAAATTTTCATTTATTTTGGTTTGGTACATATCCCTCAGGGCAGTGCACAGCGCCCATGTCATTTGTTTTACAATCCCTTGCCTATTAGCCTAGAAAATGGCCAAAACAAATTTTTACCATTCAGCTTCTTTGGACTTTAATGGAATTTGGATATGGCACCGGAACTTTACTCATATTCATGAAACCCTGCTCAAACCACAGCCAGGTGGGCTTGGTTCATCACTACTTGTCACTAGAACATTTGTTTCTGTTGAAAGAGTCTCTTGCTCTCTTGATTTCATTACAATTCTGCAATGTAGAGATTTCTCCTTACTTTCTGTCTTGGTGACATTGGTCACCAAGATAAATAGAGTATGGAAACTTCCCAATGGGGACACAGACTACAGTAAGAACCCGACAGAGGGTCCAACCCCTCACCACTCTATCCAAAACTAAAATGAAAAAGTTTTGCCTTTACATATACTATAAAAATGTTACATTGAGATATAGGAATGTTAACTTTATAACTTCTCAACTGTCAAAAGCTACTCCACTGTATGCATTATTTGTACTAAGTAGAGAACAAGCAGCAGAGCAGTATTTTATTATTGTCTGTAAGTGTTGACTAGGTCCTCATGCACACTGGACGTTTTTACAGCTGCTGTTTTTAGCTTTTGACATTTTTTCCTACAGACAGTAAACCCCCCAGCATGTTATCCTATGTGTCCATGCACACATAGACTGTAATCAATGCTGTTTGGCAGGGAAGTTTTTTGGCTAGAAAAAAACCCAGGACTAGAGGGTTTCTAGAGGAGTTTTTTAGCTGTAAAAATGCTTCACATTTTTTAACGTGACTTTACACAACTAATGTTACCAGCATTATTAAAACGCCCAGTGTGTATGAGCAGTAGATGTTCCTTTATTTACCAGAAGGCATATTGAGCTCTGCTTTTCTGAATGGTCAAAGACAACTATCAATCAATGGAGGAGCTCTATACTAGCAAACGTCCTGGCCTGTGAAGCCTAAAGAGGGTGTGTATTGTGCAAGTTGTGCTCAAAAAGGGAAAAAAGAGGGCAAAAAGACCAATCACCAATATTGCCTATAGACTCCCTATGTCTCTGTGTGATGTTGAACAACTTGGTAGAGGAGCAGGGTTGTATTTGTGTCGCAGATGACTTGTAATTTGATGACTGGTAGAGAAATGATCTAGAATCAGCAGGAGAGGTACAGAACTACAGATTTGCAGAATTAATGAAGCAGAATCAGAGAGATCCTTGTGCTGCAGGTCTTTGGATACAGCTTACCCTCAAAGAAGGAAAACACTGAGCAGCACAGTAATGACATCATCAAATCTCACCCCAAATCTCTTGAGACTAGCAGTCAGAGGCAGCAGTGGCTTATATGGTGTTACACTGCAGATTTACAGGCTCAAGCTCAAGGCAGATGAGTGGATAGGAAGGGTCACAGGAAGGGGCCTGCTATACCATACCATTACCATACCAGCACCCTGATCACCGCCATTCACCATACCAGCACCCTGATCACTGCCATACCAGCATCCTGATCACCCCATATACCATACCAGCATCTTGATCACTTTCATGCCCCATACCAGCATCCTGATCACCCCATATACCATACCAGCATCCTGATCACTGCCATACCCCATACCAGCATCCTGATTACCACCATACCCTATACCAGCGTTCGGAGCACCACCGTAGCCCATGCCAGTGTCCTGATCACAGACTTACCCCATACAAGCATCCTGATCATCCCATATGCCATACCAGCATCCTGATCACTGCCATACCTCATGTCCTGGTTACTACCATACCCCATACCAATGTCCTGACCACTTCCGTATGTCATACCAGCATTATAGGGTCTCAACTGATCAATTTTCAAATAAATATCCCATAGTTGTAGACTCTATAGCTTTAACACAGATTAAATAGGGTTTACACATGTGCAGAGTGCAGGAATCAGGAGTATCAGTTATGAACAGAGAAAACTGCTTTCTCGGCTTTCTCTGGATTTTAGTATTACTGGATTGGGATCTTCAGTTTGGATATTTCTAAGTGTTTTTTGAAAGAAGAAATTTCCAACCCAGTGTCCAGGTTTTGTTGAAGACCAACAGGGTGTGTGTCCAGGTGCACACAGCCCTTATAATGAATGCTTGAGCATACCTCAGAGCAGTTGTTGCCATTTGGAGATATAGTCTCTGTGTGAAGATAGTAGTGCTAGAAGGGGTGACCTACTCGGGAGACAAGACCCTGTGTTGGGAGGACTTCTTGCCCACAGGTCTGGGAAAGTCAGGACAGTTGCACTGGTCTAGAGAGACTGAGAAAGCTGAGGGAACTAGTGAGTCCAGAGGGGCTAGAAGAAGTCTAAGTACTCAAGAGGTGTAAAAATCTGTGGGATGGGAAACCAGTACTAATAGCAGAGGTGCTGCTGAAGTGTAGCCATTTGGCCATGGGCTGAGAATCTATTTCCTGGGAAATGACTAGGTCACTAGCCAATATCACAGTGCTTCATAATACATTTACCATGATGTTTATCTGGAGGAATACCCAGAAGGGATAAAGATATCTACACATTTTCACAATATATGGAGGCTTAAACCACACAGTTTTCAAGCTATGAAGGCACATGGGACAGTATGAATCTTTCAACACTGTATAATTCCATGGGAACTCCTTCCTGCATTCTACAAATGGACATACTCATTTCTTTTTCAAGTTGCATTTTTTTGCAGTTTTCACGCATTTATGATCATGATCATGCATATCTAGCTATATACTTGGCTAATTTTTTGTCTTACTGCTATCATTGAATATGCAGGATATATAAGTGTACAACACAAAGCCTTGCTGTATATCTCAACCAGTCAAAGTGAATACCACTAGAAATACTAAATGTTGCAATCCGGATTGCTTGTCTTTCATTGTTTTTGATGTGTATTCAGTGATTGTATGTGTCACCATCCACGGATATTACCTTTTCTCCCAAAGGGAATAATAAAAATATGTGATTTTACATATAAGCTACATTGCTTGGGTGTTTATTTCCTACTTCGGTAATTGGCTCATGGCAACTACTGCTTCTTTTGTTATTGGAGAGGAACCCTGTCTGGACAACCAGTTTGTGAACTGGGTTGCTGTGCCCTTAAAGTGTTACTAAACCCAGGACCCTGCATTCATTATATCTAGTCTCCCACAGTACACAGAACATGAAAGTGCAATTATTTTAGTAAAAATAAACTGTTAAATACCTTTTATCATCAGCAGTTATAGCAGTCATGGGACTTCTATCAGTGTCCAGCCGAGCACTGGTTAAAGCGTGTAGGAGGAGTTTTCATTTTGCTCTAATAGAATGCAGAACCCCTGACCTCTGTCTGGACAGTGCTGACTGGCATTGTACTGATCACATGCACTCTCCCATGTAAAAAAACCTCTCTAGCAGTACACAACAAACTGAGCATGTGCAGAGTGACTCCACATGATATGTCTTATCAGGAGATAAGAGGGGGAAACTGGAAGAAGGGGAGGATCAGAGAAGTCAAACAGCATTTTTACCCAATGCAGAGGGTTAACCCCCTTAGGTTCCACAGTGAGTATAACAAGCATGTATTACTTCATATACAGACTGATTTTAGTGTTGTGGGTTTAGTAACACTTTAAATACAGTTCTGACTGAAGTGGACTTACTTTAAAAGGCTCACCACCTCTGAGCTAACCAATCCCCAAATCACAACACCTATGGCAAGATTTCAGCTTCCTCTCATAACTTTTATTAATATATTTATATAAAAAACTATTTGCATTTTCTTGTGCACTTCTATTTTCCTTTAAGTCATTTTCAGTTACTGCAGCACATTGAGGAAATTCTGCTGATGGGCAAATCAGCTTGGAAGTACACATCATTAAATAAAAGTAAATAGAATCTCATATTGTAATAGCTTTTTTTTATCGTATAGATCGACATTATGAAATCTTTTCTAATGAACATTGCAGCTGCTGTCCAAGTGTTGAAATTATTTGGCACATTGACTCATGAATAGAAGCTGTTCATTCACATGACACAACAGTAAATTTTAGTCCTAATTTTAGACTTCTCAGCAACACACCTTGTAAAATTCAGTAGGTTTATAAACTCGCACAGGAGTAACAACCTGAGTCCCAGAAGTTTCACTTAAAATTAAATTTACATCAAAATAGAGTTGCTTTGAATAGAAAAAAAAACATACTTTTTCAGTGCTATAATTGTGGACTATTTATTTCTATTTCATATTTTAAAGAATGTCTGCCAAGATTTGGCTTCAGAATAAATCCCAACTAAAATATACAAGTTTAAGCTTTAAAGAAGAACTCTAGTGAGAATCATGCTTAACCACTTGCCTACCAGGCACTTATACCCCCTTCCTTACCAGGCCAATTTTCAGCTTTCAGCGCTGCCGCACTTTGACAATTGCGCGGTCATGCAACATTGTACCCATATGAAATTTTGATCATTTTTTTTCTCACAAATAGAGCTTTCTTTTGGTGGTATTTAATCGCCACTGGGCGCTTTACTTTTTTTTAATTGCGCTATAAATTAAAAAAAATGCAAACAATTTGAAAAAAAAGTTTATTTGTTTCTTTTATAAAATTTTTCAAACAGGTATTTTTTCTCCTTCACTGATTTGTGTTGATGAGGCGGCACTGATAGGCGGCACTGATGGGCACTGATAGGCAGCACTAAAGGGCACTGATAGGCAGTACTAATGAGGTGGCACGGATAGGCGGCACTGATAGACAGCACTAATTAGGGGTCACGGATAGGCGGCACTGATATGCAGCACTGATAGGCGGGCACTGATAGGTGACACTGATGATGAGGGTACTGATAGACGGAACTGACTGGCATCACTTCTGGGCACTGACTGGTGGCACTGACTGGCACAACCCCTGGGCACTGACTGGTGGCACTGACTGGCAGCACTGCTGGGCTGCACTGGTGGGTGGCACTGGTGGGCAGCACTGGTGGGTGGGCACAGGTGGGTGGCACTGGTGGGCACAGGTGGGTGGCACTGGTGGGCACAGGTGGGTGGGCACAGGTGGGTGGCACTGCTGGGCACATGTAGGTGGCACGTCTGGCCACAGGTAGGTGGCACTGCAGAGTGGCACAGGTGGGTGCACTGCTGGGCACAGGTGGGGCACTGCTGGGCACAGGTGGGGGGCACTGCTGGGAACGGGTGGGCGGGGCTAGTGGGCGCACATGCTGGGCGGAACTTGCGGGTGTCACTGCTGGGCACCGATCATCAGGGCACTGATCATCAGTGCCCTGATGATCGGTGCCGATCCCCGCTCTGACAACTACCGGTTCTCGGCAGTACTTTCCTCACGATCTGACAGCGTGAGGAAAGTGCAGCCGAGAGAACCGGCACTTGCATTTCCCCCTGTGATCAGCGTGTCATTGGACACCGCTGATCACGTGGTAAAAGGCCGCAATTGGACACAGCAATCACGGAGATCGCCGGGTGCGCGCCCCCTGGGGCGCGCAGGAGAGCGCGTTCTGGGAGGACGTCATATGACGTCCACTCAGAACTGGCCGGCCGCGGTGAAGCCGTCATTCGGCTATGCGCGGTCGGCAAGAGGTTAAAGAAAGCTATTTTAGCTTCTAAATACAACAGTGTAAATGCTTTAGCTGCTTTCCTAAAATTAGGAAAGCTCATTGTGGGAATTGTGCTTTTTTTTTTAGTTTCTGATCAGCTTAGTTAAAAACTTGCTAAAGAAAAGGACTAGAAAAATGGAGGGAAAAAATAAACTTTAGCACCTGTACCTGGCAGGTAAATACATTAGAAACAAAACATATTTTTTTCCTCACAGAAAAAGTTACATATTTTCAAAATACTAACTCACAGAGGAGTAACAACCTCAGTCCCAGAAGTTTCACTTAAAGTTAAATTTACATCAAAATAGAGTTGCTTTGGATAGAAATCATCATCATTTGATATGTCATAGGAGGGCTCTGTGGAGTTTGTTTTATTGACTCTTTTAAAGAGGTTCTTCACCCTGTTTAAAAAAAAAAAAAAAGATTTTTAATAAAAGGACACTTACCTGTCCAGGGGTCCAGCACCGTCCTCACCTTGGCCAGTTCTTCATCTGTCTTTGAGTCATAGCCACAACCATGTTTACTGTGGGCAGCAGTTTTTGGCTCATTACGCCTTCACCGCTGGCATCCCACTGCGCATAAGCTAACCGCACTGTACTTTGTGGGGGGGGAGGACTTCCAATGGAACTGCCTAGGCAAATTGACTGAAAGTGAAAAAAAAAACAGGTGCCCGTACCCCTCACCACCCCCCAAAAAAGGAGTTCCAAAAGAAGAGGAGGAGGGCATAAAGTGAAATGACCCCTATTGGGTGAGGCTCTGCTTTAAGTGTTCAGTATTCAGGTTGGGGTGGGTTGTTGGTGGTGGAAGGGGGGGGGGCTTTTGTTCAGACAATAATTTGTATCTAAAACACTGGGCAACTAAATTATGCACACCAGTTCTAAGCACCAATGGGCTCAGGCCAAAGACTTCATGTGCTTCCTGGGAAACATATAATATATAATACAAATCATGTGTAGAGCTGCACAAGCCTGATGGTGCTGGACCATTTTTTAATCTAATGGTGGCGCTCTTAGTGACTGCAATGCATGACACCATGCAAAATAAATCCAATATAATGGGAAAATAAGTCACCAGCACTCCAAAAATTCACTAGGTTGCCCTGAGGAAGGAGACACTGTGATGCATTAGCATTTTGTCCTATGTAACATTATGGGTTCTATTTATACAAGATTTGCTGTGCAAATGTCTCAGCATTCATACAGCTATTACAGGGAGAA